GTTTAATATCCAGGCCTTTTCTTATGCACAAACACGTCAGAGAAGTACACATCTGGCCCAGAGGAAATTGCTACCCATTCTTCCTGCATTTGCTCCTCTCTGTGTGAATTCGCCTGCTACTCCAACAGCCACTTCAAAGTCCCTCATCAAAACCGCAACTGTGACTCAATCAATAACGTTTTACAAGAGGGAAAACGCCTTGACCCACAAGTGCTTAAAATGGAGGTCATGCCAAAGCTACAACTCATCGAGATGTGAGGACGCTTAGCATGACCTGCCTTGATTTTCAAAAGCTGAGTTTTATTGAGCAGTCATCTCGATGATTTTGTGTTGTCCATGTTTCTAATACAGCAGTGGGCTCCTCTCTGTAACAGACTCCGTATGCCTAGAAAGCCCATGATGAGCTGGCAGGTACAAGGGACTTCCTATGTCTGCATTTTCTTCAGCAGAAGCACGCTTGTATGTCACCGAGATCAGAACAAAAGGGCAAGGAAGGCAAGTCCCAGAAATTTAATCTCAGCTCAGCCACTCGCCTTTCCGCATGGTGAGAAAAATCCTTAAATCTTTCCCTTTTACAGTTTTAACCCTTTATATGATTAAAAGCAGCATATAGCTGCTAATGTAGTATCAATATTTAAGATTTAATGATGGCGGGAAAAGCCTGTCCGAGCCAAAGGAAGGACTCAGAATCAGTCAAGCAAGAGACATAAGTGGATGAGAAATCAGACTTCATTATTCCTAGCACTGCCAGAATGATGCCTTCTCTCTCACCTCAGAAGATCTCCACACGAACAAAGAAAGTTCAGGTAATTTAACCATCTTGCTGTTAGGGAGATGTTATTGCCTAGCATAACAAGCCAGCAAAAGAGGATAAAGCCTATGGCTGGCTTCAAGTCATTGCTGTCTCAACTCCTGATCAAAAGCATTAGGATCTTTGGCGGTAGCCGGGGGCCACCGGAGGTGCTGGTGATGCACAGCAGGGATGGAGAGATGAGTGAGAAGCTCAGCTGGGGCCAGCGCTGTTCTTTGGTGTTTATTTGCAAGACAGCTGAGTCAGAGTCGGCAATAACAGCAAATCTTTAAGAGCAAATCAGTAAATTAGAGGCAGAGATGTTGAAGGTAGGAGAGGAGGAGCCACATTGTGGCTCATATCTGTGGGGGTGGTGTCCTAAAAGGATTATGTTCCATTTGTTCTCTAAGAAATAAGTAGGTAGTGCGCCGTGCAGGCATGAACCAGATCAGTGGGGCAAGGCAAGGCAGGCAGAGGGGGAATACCCTTTCTTGAAGAACAGTGTAGAAAAGCAAGACACTGCTAATTTGCTGAGGGGCTCTGAGGCCCAGGCTGAGGAAGGACAGATTGGGCAAATGCTCTGCTAACACGAATACCGAAAGGATAATATTGTATGTATGTGATTGATGTAGCACTGGTGCTGCGTAAGAGACAGGGGTTTTAGGAAGGTGGATGCATAAGAAAAGAATATAATGGTAAAGCCTTGAAAAAGCTGTAACAACCAGGAAGGTTATTTATGTGAGGACAACTATGCATGTTAAAAAGGAGTGCAATTAAGTAACGTAATAAAATCAGGGCCAAGAGTTCAGATTCACAGAACAGCAAAGAGAGCAACTGTAAGCCAGAGGGGGAAAGGAGGAGAGGTCCTGAGAGCCTTAGAGCAGGGAGAAGTAATGGGACGAGGCTTGCAAAGCTAGTGAAAGTACTGCAGGCTCTGAAGGGAAATCTCATTGCAGTCAGAAACAGCTTTTGCTTCTGTTTTTTTCTTCTGGTAACTTTAAGAAAGAAGTTACCATTCAGCTTTGATAGATGAAGCTTCAGTGATTCATCCTTAAGAGTATATGAAGCAAAGAGTTGAACTCCTGATCACGCTGGGTCTCCAGAAATGACAAGTGTATGTGAAACAGGGTGTGAGCTTCTGGAGGGAGGTGGATGTATCTTGCAAGCTGCAAGTGCCGATTTGAGGGCTGCTGCTGCCAAACACTCAGTCTCCAGGAGAAATCGTTTTCAGTGATAAGCCTGCAGTTTTCAGCAAGAAGCAGACTACGAGGAAATAGCCTCTGATGACAGATAATCCCAGAATGATTGTATTTCTTTCCCCCAGCCCCATGTGCCACTTGCCAGAAGATAAAACAGAGCAACATGAGGCCATCAGGGTTAGCTGCAGTCCTTGCCCCTCTCGCCACCCTTTGGCACCCATGTTCTCATTGGATCTTCTTGTCCTCACTGGTTTTATTTGCTGTTTCCCTCTGTTTCTCTTCTGCTTATTTTCCTCCCACTGACTGAAATGCCGTTTCTGTTCTTCTTTTGTGTTCAACTCATAATAATTAACTAGAAGGCAAAATTTCAGACCTCATTTAACCTCATCCATCAACAGAAATCCAGTAAAATGTGATCCAATTGTAGGTCTGTAACACTTTCTACTCATTCCAGTTTATTCATTTCAATTTAGCTGGAAAGCCCTTCTTTGTGGCAAAGAGAATGTATTTTGCTCTGGTCTGCAGCAGCATGGTTAGCTTATGCAGTGAGGAGACAAACCATTTCCATATAATCATATTTATTAGATCATTAGCGCTGTTTTAGAGAAGTGCCAACAATCAGCACTTAGGGAAAAAAAGAGCTGGCAGCAAAGGCCACTAGGCAGAAAGGCTTTGGAGGGAACCTGCAGGCCCTTCACAGCAGTAATGAAGCAGAGGCGTCTGATGTCTCCAGTTAATTACCTCATTGAGAGCTTGTTGGGAGGCACTGCTGTGGCTGAGCTGCAACCAGGTGCAAGGGTGGAAATACGAGGCTGGACGCAAATACATGTGGTTCGTTTCCTTTAATGACAGCACTTCAATATGTGGCATTGCAGGGTACCAGAGCGATCACTTCTGAAGCAGTGGCACCCACTAACTAGATGTCTTTATCGCATTTTATATATATATAAATACACAAACCCTCAAAATTGTATATACCTGCCTATGCTTTCAACCATGGGCAGCTGCAGGAGGTTGTCAGCCAGTCCTATATGTGTTCAAACGGTGCAACCCCTATACAACAGGCTGGCTGCCTTCCCAACAGGAGCATCCTGTTTTCCTTCAGTAGCCTTCTAGATTTGTTCTTCTGGTCACTAATGTTGTTTTAGCTGAGCTTAGTCACACAGTTTTCTCCTAGGGTTCATTGGAAAGCTCCCTCTGCAAAACAATAGTCCATTAGGAGATAATTTATATATCAATAACATACCTTGGCAACTGTGCGTTGTCTATACCTACATAATTATGGCAGTAATCACTGGCATATAATCACATTTGTTTAATTATAACAGAAAGGAAATTAATGCATTGGAAACTTTTTTTTGTTTTTCTGGTAGCTGAACAGAAAATGCCTCGTTGTTCACCAAGTCATTAGCGGAAAGTCCAGGAGATGAGTGACTGTAGGTACCGCTGACCTTTTGTGCTGAGGTAGTACATCACCAGAGAAAACTCAAGGATCAGGAAAAAAGTAAAGGAGTGGAGGACTGGAGAACAGGAGCACTCAGTTCTATGCAGCATCTTCTATAATGAAAAGGCACTTTAGAAAGCAACAAGCTGCTCAGAGCTCACATCACTTTTGTACTACTACTGGGTTAAAAATGTTGCATGCTTAAAAACCCTTCTTGAGAGACGCTGGTGAAAAATGTTAGCTAATAATTTTTTATGCCAGAGGGAGACAAAAGGGACCTTGAGTTAAAGAGATAATATCAATTTTATGGTCACTTTTTAAGAAATTATTTTAAATTAGGTTCAGATCAAATCTTGCTGAAATTCTCTGACAAGTGTCGTCTTCCTTTTTAAAAAAAAAATTTTGCAGCTGCATCTTCCAATTGTCTCTTTTTTTTTTTTTCTTCCTCAGTGTGGTGAAAATCCAAACAAACAAGAGGCCAAGCTGCCTACAGTCAAACTCACTGCGCATTGTTAATGTGATGGAAGACGTGGTATGGGTGAAACTGGAAGCACAGCGGCAATTCCACTAACCTGAAAACTAGGTGTTCTCCAATGCACAGCATACATAAAAAAGTGTGGCTGTAAACATACAGAAAGGATTAAAAAGGCTTAATTAATGAATGAAGATTGCCTTCCGATCAGAACAGGGGGGTTGAGTTGTGTTTTCAGGCAGAAGTGTGATGTTTAAGTTTTCATACTGCCTAGCACTGTACTGAAACGGGAGCTCTGCCATGAGTTTGATGCTTTTGAACTCTCTGACATAGAACAGCTTGGGGTGAACAAGTCTGTTATTAACGTATTGCTCAAAGGCAGTCTGAAAACACAAGGGCTGCAACATACGTTTTGGCCTTAAAGAGGCACACTGGGAATCCTTTGCTGCTGGAGGAAATGGATATGCATCTTGATGGCCCAAGCTCTGTTTCAGGAATAAGCTACACAGACTTTCTTTTCACTTATTCCAAAATAAATGATCATGTTCTGCCCAGATGTTTTTTGCATCTTTGCAGATTATTTCCTCTCTTTTTTCCAGGTTGCATAGACCATCTGCAGTGCAGGCAAGAGAATGATGCATCACAGTTGAAGATGGCAAAGCTTTGCCATCTGCTTGCCCGGGCAGTTTGAGCATTAATGGTAGTTCTGAGACTTAATTCTTGCACACTAGTGAAGCCATGGATTCTTTGCTGGCTGAAAAATCAGATATTCAGGCTATAGGAGAGACCTTTGCTGGCCAGCGGAACTCTGCTGATGCTGTGCAGTACTTGTAATGGAGTAGGACAAGCAGCTCTGGACTGCAAGATGGCCAAGCCACATCTGGCCATAGGAAGGAGGTTGTGTCCTCTGGCTTTTAGGGATGCCCAGCTCTCGAGCCAGCCAGGCGACCAGCATAACCTGGACAACCTCATGGCCTCTCCCAAACACTTCCCACCCCTATGTGTTCCCAGCCACATGTGCATCGTGATGGGATGGGGGCTTGCTGGCCACGACCCAATGCCTTGCATGGTAATGGGGCCCTGTGGGCCAGCGGCATGGTTTATCTTGCAGGGAGAGCCCACAGCTGGACCTCTGTGGCACATCTGGAGCGTGAGGCCCAGAGCAGCAAAGTCGCTGCAGCAGTTCAGGTAGGAAGGGGCTTTCATGTGCTTAATGTGATTTCACAGGACCATAGCCAGGAGCTCCAGTCCTCTCCTCCTCGCCTTGTGCCAGATACACACTTCTCATCCTCCGTGAGCACAGTAAAAAAGACAGGGGGTCTGCAAACTTGTTGCTGGCAAAGCAGTGAAAGGGAACCAGAAATGGCTGCAACTCCGTTTTTCTGTCACTCAAAGAAATTATTTTCTTCTCTCTTGTCATGCACCTTGAGTAGGGAAATTTTGTTCCTCTTGTTAAAATTCCATGCATGCACTCTGCCTTGCTTACAAACTGAAACACAAGTTGTGATCCACCTGCTTAATATAATTCAGTGCTTGCAGTTTAGTGTGATTATAGCTGATTTGTTTGATCTAGTGTATGAAAACTGTTTGTCATCTGATCCTTTACCCGATGTGGAAGGTTTGGGGACATATGCAGAGAGAGCAATATAGATCTGTGTTGTATTAGCTCATAATACACTAATTATCATGCGCTCTATTTTACTTTCTTTCTACACAGCCTGCTTCACTTCCCCAGGGGTTTCTCTGCAGCAGAGAAAATACAGAAAAAATGTAGTTTTCATCAAGACCTCCAATGTTTCTAAAACAATGTTATCCCATGACTTCTTCCTGCCAGGCAGGGAATAATAACTACGTTGAATCATCTTGCAACTAGAATCAGTGAGGCTGGGGCAAAGGAATCCTGACATCTTCACGAGCTCTCTTGTGGGGGTTCCTCCATTTGGTGCTATTAGGGGGGCTCAGGAAAAGCAAGCATGTGGTCTCCAGGCTCGCTGGCCAGCTCTGTACCTGCACGTCCAGGTCTCTT